CTGTTTATTGGACTGTCTGGCCATGAAACTCCATCGCCATCTATCAATACAGTTTTAGGGATTTGGAGATTCGGTAGGTGGAATGATCTGTTGTTTATGTTAAAACAAACTAAACAAACAACCCTTCCATGTGCACAGGCTGCTACTGCATGGCACACCAAGACTTACTCCCAAGACACAGACTACCTAGAGACAGGAGGCAGGTTGAGAGCCTACAGCCAGATAACCAAGTGAAACATTAATTTGTATTTATTCCCCCTACATTTTCCTTTTCATCTCATTTCAGGGAAGGAGTCAGGCCTTTAGCATTTCCTTCCCTCAGTAATTTTTGGAAGCGGAAAACAAGTCACTTTTGATCAATGGCTCTTCTGCCTTTTGCAAATACCTAAGCTACCCGCAGAGAGATTGCCAGGGGTGTCAGAGGGAAGAGAGGGGTGCCTTTATGAGCAAAGAGAAAAAGGGGGCGGGTCAGAGACTGGGAAGATGATAGGGGTTAGTGGGTCCCAAGATTAAGAGAGATATGTATTTCGCTCCTCACCCTTTGAGAATGGAAAGGCCAGAGCTCAGGCACAGATGTTCCATGTCTTCCCAACTACTCCCATGCCAAGCATGGTGCAGCTGCTGGAACCAAGGGACTGTGAGGTGGGAACAAAGGGCCCCTTAGCAGTGACTAGTGTGGACCATGGCCAGAAGGGCTAAGACCCTAAGTCACTTGCACAACAATGAATGGTATAGGAGCATACAGCTGGATTTAAATTGATTCAAAGAAAATAAGGAAATGTCACATTTTTGCACATCTCAGTTGGTGTACTGATTCATATGGAGACCTCCTGCAGGATGGCGACGACTGGTTGTGTGATGCATATCGGTGGCAGACACTGATTCTAGGTGCTATAATTCAGGCTCATTTACCCCGAGCCTGTGGCTAAGGCTGTGCTGTAGAACCCGTGTAAAGAGGTGATTGTAGGGCCGGCCCGGTGGCGCACTGCTACAGTGGCGGGTTCGGATCCCACATACAGACCGGTTCCCGCTCACTGGCTGAGCGAGGGGTGGGCGCAGCACGGAGGGTTGCGATCCTGTTGCCGGTCCCGGTCCGGTACGGGTGCGACACTGAGGGTTGCGGTCCGTTGCCGGACACGAAAAAAGACAAAAAAAAAAAAAAGAGGTGAGTGTAAACTCTTGGAAGTCATGGCCAACGAGGGAAGACAGGGATCTGTGATAGGCTCAGTTTGAAAGGGTACTTTAGAATGATTTAATATCCCAGTTCCTCTTTCAGGAGTAACAAAATATAAATCATTTGTTTTCTATTGTTATCTTGACTTTGTGGAAGTGAATTCAAAACAAGACAATATCAACTAACAAAAAATAAATAAAGGCTTGTTTGCAACACTGTAAAATTTGTATATATTTAAAAAGAATAAGCAAATAAACAAACCCTGGGCAGACACAAGATGGTCAGAGAAGGAGATGAGGACAACTGCAGCCTTGTTACTTTGCTAAGATTAAAGTTCTCTCTAATTCTTAGGAAAATATCTAGAAAGATTTTGAGGTCTCTAAGCTAACTCTCTTTTTAAAAATTAAAATGCTCCCTGGAAAGGAAGAGGCATAGAGTAGCTAATACACATGCCGCCTGGGGAACGGGCCAATGTGTTGGGTGAGCACTAGGGAAAACCATTCTGCCTGTGAGAAAACGATAGTTACCAGAAACTGGAGGCATTTTCCACTGTTTCCAATAATGAAACCCCCAGACGCAGAGAAGAGACAATTGAATCTTGTTTAGGGACCATCACCAAGAATCTGCTGCTACTGCAGCACTAGAAAGTGAGAGAGAGAGAGAAGTGCAGGGCTGAAGGCCTCCCTTCACACCCTGCCCGTCCCCCCAGGCTCGCTGCCCTCCAGCCGCACTGACCCTGTGTCCCCTCGGTCTGCCTGGCCACTCTCCCCAGACATCAGTAAGGCCTTCTCCCACCCTCCTTCAAATAGAGCCTTCTCAGCAAGGCCCTCTCTATCCAAACTTGCAGCCCCAGCCCCAGCACTGCCCTGTGCACTTATCACCATCTGACATATTACATATTTTTCTCAGTTCATTGTCTGTCTCTCCCCACTAGATAACCTCCATGATGAGAGATACCAAGTCTTTTGTTCAATACTGTGTCCTCAGCCCCTAAAAGAGTCTGGCACAAAGTAGGTGCTTAATAAATACTCACTGAAAGAACCAATGAGTCAGTGAATGCTGATGGAGTAACTGCTTCAGTGGCCCGGACTTGAGGCACTTCTGCTGTCATGGCAAGTGATGCTGTAGTACTCCAACATTCTGTATTGGGGACTTGAGCATTCGTGGATGTTAGCATTCATGGGAGTCCCGGAACCAATCCCCTGTGGACACTGAGGGATGACTGTCTAGGACGTTGGGACCCACTGACAACCTGAGAACATGTGTCTCTGCTAAACCTCCTAGACACCCACCAGCGAGCGTGCAGTGAACTGGCATCTTATTTCCACTGTGGTCAGAGAAGAGCAGCAGGTCCGGCAGGGCAGTCTGGACTTCAGCCCAGCTCTGTCCTTCATGGAAGGGGGTGGGCAGACAGAACATTGTGGGGTGTGCTCTCCCAGAGAGGGGCCTGATGAGTCCAGACCATTTCATACTTCTCGCAGCAAAGTAATGTTGCAAAGCAGGGGAGGAGGGGTTGCAGCTTGCTCGCCTGCACAGAGTCACTCCTTCGGTGCTTTTCTCCAAAAAGGAAATTGCATGAGATCAAAAGCACTGGCAAAATTCCTATTTGAGGATGAGGAAACCATGTCACACTTTTATACATGTGACCTGATGTAAAGCTCAAAGAACGAAATACCGTAACATACAGTTCCTGTTTGCATGAAGCTTATTCTCTTGACAGGGAGATAAGACTAACAGGCAAGAAACAAATCCAGCAGCATTTTTCTAACAAAGGGTGCCTGAAAGTAGAGGAGGACTGACAGGTTATTTCTGGAGTCTGGGTAGTATTGGAACACAGAATTTCTCTGCAGTCTTATGTTTTATTTTATTTCTTTAAATCAAATTTTGTACTTAACTTGTAATCTGCATTATAAAGGTTTTTTTTAATTACCAGTAAACTCACATAGATTTTGTTTCCCACACTTTCAAGGCAAACAGATACTCCACACCAAAATGTGCCGAGTTAAGCCCATGGCTTTGGACCTCCTTTGCAATGTGAACCGCCAGGGGGTGTAACCCTAATTGGTAAATATGGAATTTGGATATCACGCACACAAAAATCACCTTATGCTAAAATGCATCATACAGACAATAACTACAATGGCTGCTTAGGAAAGGACAAAATATCTGGAAAGGCTATGTGAAGCCAGATGTGAAAAAGCATTATTCCACTGTTGCCAGTGATATAATCTTTATGACATAGAGAATTTCTGACTTATAAATGTGTTTTTAAAAATTAGGAAACAAGTCATTTTAAAAACAAACTTTTTTAATGTAAACATACAGTAAATATGCAGAAATGTCAGAAATAAACCATCTTTAACTCTGGGCTTTTTTCCAAAAGACAGAAGATCATTTCTTCAAAAGATACAAGATGCACAGATGTTAATATGAAACCTTACAAATGTTAATATGAAACTATTTAAATTCATAAAGAACAATGGATATTTTCAAATTTTTCACCAGCTTAAAATTTCAAAACCATTAGCAAAACTATTTATTTCCATAATTTTTATGAGTAAAAAACAGCTAATCATGTACCTTAATATTGTCATTTTATGTATTACTCTAAAATACAAATAATTCTGAAGACAGAGTCCCATGCTAATTATATGTATTAGAAAAATACTGAGACATTTATCATGCATAACTAACATAAAGAAAACTATATTTTAGAATGTATTTCACAAACACAAGTCCATCTTTTCTCTTTGGTTCAGAAAATAAGAGAGGTAGGTTCAAATAAAGTAAATGCCTACTATGTCACTAGATTTTCAGTAAAATGTTGGCAATTTATAACAGAAATTATTAAAAATCAAATGAGTTTAGGAACTAAATTAAAAAGGGAAAAGAACAATGTCAACTAATAAATATTTTCTAAGTTCTAATCATACAAATCAGAAAAGATAATTGACTACAAAAATGGCTTTGGTAAAATGAAAAATGCTATCAATATTATAAATTAAGTTTTTTATATCATAATATGTTCTCAAAACTTGGGGCAAGAGGGAATCTTAATGTGTGTGTTTACACATTGAGACTTTCATTTAAATTCAGTTTTCTAACGCGTAAGACTAATACATACTACTATTAGGTATCTCTTAGCTTTGTGCTGCTCACATGGAGAATGGCAGGTTCAAAAAAATTCAGCAGTGGGGGGGATAAGCATGTCATTCACCCATGATCAACCCACTTCATGTAATTAAAAGAGAAATTTCAGATTACCAAGAATGGTCCCAAGAAGCCTTCCTGATTAAAACAGAACCTGACTTGGGCCGGCCTGGTGGCGCACTGCTACAGTGTGCCGCTTGGGAGCGCGGCGGCGCTCCCGCCGAGGGTTCAGATCCCACATACAGGCCGGTTCCCGCTCACTGGCTGAGCGAGGTGCGGGAGCAACACCGAGGGTTGCGATCCCGTTGCTGGTCCAGGTCTGGTACGGGCGCGACACTGAGGGTTGCGATCCGTTGCCGGACACGAAAAAAGACAAAAAGGAAAAAAAAAAAAAAAAAAAAAAAAAAAACCTGACCCAAAAAGAAGGAAAAAAAAAAAAGAGAGAGGCTCTTCAGAAGCTAATAAAAGAAA